CCACCTGGATAAGCTCATGGCCTGCCATACAGTCACATGTAGAGGCTGGTTTCCTGATGGGTGCCAAGTCTCCTGGACAGCCTGAAGTAGATCTCCTTGTGAGCAGGAGGCAGATCTCCAAGACAAGGGGCAGAGCAGTGAACAAACCTGGCTCTGCCCGGCATCCTCTTTGACTCAGGGGCCACATCCCTTTCCTAGCCTATCCTCCTGTTGCAGTTGTAGGGGACTCTGGGCATGGGTGTCTATCAAAACATTGCTTTTTAAAAGGGTCTGCACCTCTAGCTTTTAAAGGTATTGTTGGCTCTGAATCAGAATTGCTTGTTTGGAGACTTGATTTTTAGCCATGAGTTTGTTATTCATTGTCAGGTTAAGGCCATGAATTTGAATGGATGATTAAATTCACTATTTTTTTGCTAGGCATTAGTTGATTTCGGTCAAAGTAATGAGACTCAGTTTTCTGTGTGACTAAAAGTGTTTCTGAAGGCAATTATAAAAGAGGAGCTCCAAAAACACTGTGTAAAAGGCCACACCACTAAATAAATAGCCTACCCACAGGGACTACTCAGAAGACTGACACTAATTCAGATGTGTGAGATCTCATTATTATAAGGTCAGACTTGGAAGAATGCTTCAGTGAGCCTACCTTTTGCAGCAGAATAAATAAATGCCACTCACTCCACACATAATTATAGGTTAGAACAAAAAATGACTAGAGAACAGAAACTAGCACAATCTGCCAATATAGTGACAATGCTAAAAACCACAACGACATGACTCCACAGAATACTGTAAGGCAATCCTGGAGATTGCCTTTTACCCCCTTGCCATTTACTAGGAAAAAAAATCGAAAACTTACAATGTGAAACTGTATCAAGTAGTTCAGAAAAACTAAATTAACCTGTTATGTGGAATTTGTTTGATGATGATGATGATGATGATGATGATGTTAGAAAGACACAGATGGAGTGAAACTGGCCTGGGGTACATGCTATTGAAATAACTGACAGTTTCTGGTTCTGTTTATGTTTTTAAAATTCCAAGAACAAATTATAAAAAGCGAAAAATAGCCAGGCGTGGTGGCACATGTCTTTAATCCCAGCACTTGGGAGGCAGAGGTAGGCAGATCCCTGTGAGTTCGAGGCCAGACTGGTTTACACAGCAGGTTCCAGGCCAGCTGGGGCTACAGGGAGACCCTGGGGAAAGAGAAGAGAGAGAGAGAGAGAGAGAGAGAGAGAGAGAGAGAGAGAGAGTTGGGGAGGTATATAGTTTTTGAAAATAAGCACATTTGGGGCTGGAGAGATGACTCAGTGGTTAACTCAGTGGTTAAGAGCACTGGCTGCTCTTGCAGAGGGCCTGGGTTTGGTTCCCAGCACCCACATGGTGGCTAACAACCATCCATAACTCCAGTTCCAGGGGATCTGACACCCTCTTCTGACCTCCGCCATCACTGCATGACAGGTGCACTCAATGCATGCGGGAAACAAATCATACACACAAAAAAATATATAAGAAAGAAAATAAGCAGTTTCTGATTACATAGATACCAAAAGTAAAAGATATTTTCCCACTAATCCTCAAAATATTGATACCACCAAGACAATGGTTTTTAATAGAGTCTGTGAAGCTATATATATTGATGGTTGATGTCAAAAACAAGAAAATGATGCCAATTTTGGGGTAAGTAGCTACTTGTTGGGAAGGAATTTTATTTCTGTAAACCTTTTTTTTTTTTTTTTTTTTTCCTTTCGAGACAGGGTCTCTTTGTCACCCCACCTGGCCTGGAATTCACTATGTAGACCAGCCTGGCCTTGAACTCATAGAGATCTACCTGCCTCTGCCTCCTGAGAGCTAGAATTAAAGGCATGTGCTATCATGCCTGGCCCTCTGCACACCATTCATATTAATATATTTAAGAGAACTTTAGCTAGCATTCAATCTTTAATGTTAAGAAAACATATTTGGAAGGAGGATTGCCTTTAAAACTGACTAAATATTAAGTCCATGTGGGGGTTTTGCTGTTTTGTTTTGCTCTGCTTTGTTTTTTTGAGGCAGGGTCTCCTTGAATCCCTGGTTGACTGGCACTCACTATGTAGACCAGCCTGGCCTCCAACTCACAGAGCTCTGTTTGCCTCTGCCTTCCCAAGTCCTGGGATTGAAGGCATGGCCCACCACGCCTGGTACACATAGCTTTTGCTGATATTTTTGTGCTGAGGGCCAGTTCAAGTAAAATACAGGCAGCTCACAGGTTTGCCATATGGCGTTCAGTAAACCAAGTTGCCAGATGAAGCTGTCAAGCGGCCAACGGGGAGGAGGACGCATTCAGTCTGGTTGCGAGTCCTCCAGGTTCTCTCCCTTGGAGAGCAGCAGCATGAAGACAATGTTAGACAGCTGGAGCACAGGACTCAGCCAAGATCACATCGGATCTTGGTTTCCTTGGCAACATGAAACTGATTAGACGATGTAGGGCAAATACCAAAATTTTGAAACTGTGAAGTTGTGCATAAGCTCCCATGCTGCCTTTCCTCAACTCAGTTAAATTTCAGCTGTTCTACTTACATCCATTCGTAACATTAGCAATTTAAATTTTTTTTTAAATTTATTATTTTTATTTTATGTGTATGAGTATATTGCCTGCATGTATGTGAGTGTACCTGTGTCATGCAATGCTGTGGATGTAAGAAGAGGGCTTTGGATTCCCCTGGAACTCGAGTTAAGGACAGTTCGTAGCTGCCATGTGGGTGCTGGGAATTGAACCCGGGTCCTCTGCAAGAGCAGTCAGTGCTCTTAACTGCTGAGCCATTTCTTCAGCCCTGACATTAGCAATTTTACTGAAATAAATTCATTTTGAAAAATATTCAATGAAACGCAGAAAATACAACAGTGTTGAAGTGCAAAGCTATCTTGCCCTCTGAAAGAAGCACAATTCCTTCAGACTCTAGAAGACATAATGTAACCAGCATATGCTTACAGTCAGGGCAAGCCAGGTTTAACTCTGTCTCCCATGTTGGCTGGCTGTATTCTTGGGGAAATTATTTACCAGTTTCTCTAACTCAATTTATTCAACTTTAAAATGATCATGTCATTATATAATGAGGAGGGAGAGCCACTAGAGCTGGCTTTCAAAACAGAATGCAGCTAATCTTCAAAGTGTCCCAGGGATGTAAGTGCTGCTGTTAACCACAGTATTCTAATGAGGCCACTCAGGCAGAGGGTTAAGTGACTTGGTTGAGACAAGTCTAAGACCAGGATCCGAACTTTGGTGGTCAGAATCCAAAGTTCACAGCTATGTGGACATGACCAGGACACAGCAGCTAAATCCCGTCCCTCCCCCAGCAACCTTCATCTTTGCAAGCCTATAGGTAATTAGTTTATAGATGGAAAATCCAAGTATGTAAAAATAAAGCTCTTTTGCTATGAAGGTGACAAGTCTTAATCAGTGTTTATTTTTTAAACAATATATGGAAATGCTTTTATATGTGGAAATGCTTCAATTTGTGACAAAGTTGGCATATTTTATTTTATTTGGAATCAGATTTCCCAAAAAGATGCATTATGTAAGAAAAATAATCTCAGTAAAATAACAACTGAAGTTATGAAATAACTTGTACTCAAAGTAGAATGTTTCAAATGATCTGGGTAAATAATAGATAACTTTTAACAATGTGGAGAAAAATATGATGATACTAGAAAAACTGAATTGATTCTTCAAGAAATTGTGAATGAATTCTATACTACTAAACCATGCTGAAAAATAAGAGAAGTATAGTGTCACAGACAAGCAATGAATAAAAGGACATGTAAGTTCTAGAAAAGTCTGATGGATTATTCAGATGCCACCTTCGCATAAGCCAAAAATTGTAACTACATAGTCAAAGGACTAAGTAAGGAGAAATATATACAACATTAAGTTTAAATGATCAACCAATAATCAAATGCTTTGGCACATTAAAAACATGAACAACTTAGTTGTGTATAGGTTTTAGCAAGTATGGGACTCTACACAATAATCATCAATGAGGTGTCATTTGTCACATGAATCAAAGAGCTGCCTCAATCAGCAACCCTGGTATTATGAGATATACTGAAAATTTGTATCAAATCCTCATTTTACTGAAATAAATTCCAGTTTGAAAAATATTTTTCTTACTGGACTTCAATGTACAATGGAAATATAACTTAATCACAAAATACACATAGAACCCAAATAAAGGGATAACCATCCAGAAAGTGCCAATGTTCTCTAAAGTTCCTACTAGTATGAAATACATCATAATTTCTCAAATCTTCTCTCCTGCCAAATTACAACAACTCATACAAATAACAAAATACACGAGATTACCCTACATAAAAATGTAAATAACATGGCTGAAAGGGTTTTAAAGCAAAACAAAACAGAAACTCCCCAAAGTAGTGAACTTCAACTTATAAGATGTTTATTTTTAATAAGCCTAAAATTAATTGCATTCATTTACTGCAGTTGTGGGCAACGTGTTTCTTGCACACTTGTCTCAGGCACTTAAACGTATTCACTTTACAGCCCCGAAGAGACACTGAAATAATGAACAATGTAAAAGGAAATTTCCGAGGCTTAAACTTGTTTCAACGCTGTTTCTTAGCTCACGGTGGCAGAAAGGGGGCAGCGCTGAGCTAAAAACAAAACAAAACAAAACAAAAAACTAAGTGCGCTTTAGGAGCTACGGCTGACATTTCAAGCAGTTTCCTGTCCAGGCACTCTGGAATTGATCAATACAGATTTTATTATAGGTACATAAAATAAAACTCTACAAAACCTAACCTTTCAATTTTTAGAATATGTTTATGACAGTTTTTCAGTAAAAAAAATCAAGGATACTTAATAAAGTTAAGAAATACCTTCTATAGAACACTGTCTCCCAACTTGCGAACAATGTTTTTTACAAGGGTAGTGGTGTGTCCCACAAAACAACACGACACAAACCTTTTAAAGAGATTAACAATATTAAAAGATCCACAAAGCTTACCATTCATCAGGCGAGCACCCATAATCCTCAGGTTCAGGGACATGGCTTCAAGAGGAGGGACAGAAAGAGAGGGAAAAAACAATCACAGAAAGGCTAGAAACATAAAATTATGAATAAGGGAAGTAGTGAAAGGCAGGTTTCTGAAAAGTTAAGAAAATGAACTTTTAGTTGAATCAAAGAATGGCAGTTAGTACAGTGAGTTGAACATGAGGATTTATGGTAACCGTGAAGAGTTACAGAGCTACCCAGCAAGTAGATGGCTGCCTTGCCTCTCTGCTGCCTAATTTCCTGATTTGATGCAAAGAATAATCCAAAATTTAGTTTAAATTTTGTTCTTTAAATGCATGTGGTAAAACCAATGGAAAATTAACCATATATATTTTATAACTAGAGTAAAGCACTTCAATGACACAGACATGCTAATACCTAGGACACACAACCACAGTAAGAAACTCTGTCAAATACTTTTTAGAAGGCGTTTTGGCTACTTTGTGGCAAAAACGTCTTAAAAAGACCACTAAAGTAAAAGTGAATTGTATTTATATGATTAAATGGAACCACATTTTAAAGATTAACTAATAGTAAAAATGGTTCACCTAAAGCATAATTCACTTATCAAATAATTTTTATTTTAAAAATGTTTTCATCAATATTTTATTTATTTTAATCTATTAGCTCATTTGAGTGAGGGGGAGATTAACTGATATATTTAATTTCATCCAGTCAATCATGTATTAAATCACAAGAGACGCAAAATACAGTCAGTAAATTTTTAAAAATTTCCTCTTTCTTTCACTACATATGGTAACTCAGCATTTCCCCATTGAATTAAACTTATTATACACAGGAAAAATTTAAAAGTGCACAGTTGGTTTTCGATAAACAGAATAAGCTATTGACAACTTAGGGCACTCTTTCATTCCCCAAAAGCTCACCCAACTCTTTTAACCTAGCCATGACATGGTCAGTGCCGGGCCCTAGTCTACTTCTAAAACATTAGGTTGTCTCTAGGGCAGTATCCACTCTATCAGAGCAATCACAGTAAAGACGACATTTAGCCTACTATTCTTTCTCTACCAAAGGGATTATGGGTATGTTTAAGAGGAAGGGTTAACCCAGTCTAGCTCCTTTGACACCTGGGAAAGAATTTGACCTGCTGCAACGCTTTATGAACACTGGCGGTTGTACTGTCACTGTTGATCAATTTTAAGGTCTGGGCTTCGCCCCTGGACTGTGCCAGGGGAAGGCTTAGCATTGTACCTGCTCCTAGTGTCACACCAGGACAGGAGCAAGTGCTTCCTAAAGTCATGAGGTTTAACAGCCCCAGAACTCATGGGTTAGACCTCCTCCTCCTGAGTCTGGTGCAGCCATGGCAGAATGCTCAGTGTCATCCAGAGGGTGATGAGCAGCAGATGACTTGTTTGCATGATCCTATTTGCATGAGATTCCTGTGACTGAGACTTGGCAACTCTGGTGCCTGTGAGCTATCTGGCTATTTGAACTTGGACATGTAGGTGCTGTCATACCTGCTTGGTAAGTTCTTTACTCAGTCAAATTCATCCTCAGCTCTCAGCTCAAGTGTCACTCAGGAAGCATTCACTGACCTTCCGAGTAGACTACCCCACCCAATCAGAGTCTCACACAGACTCTTGTACCACGTTATGATTTTATAGCCATCTTATAATTAATTAATATACTACATTAACCCCAGTTAGATCATGAACTTGAAGTGAGAACCATGTAAACTTTGGTTGATTATTATGCCTTTAGTACTTAACAAAGAGCCACACACAGAGGGAGGCTGATCAATTTCTGTGATGAGTTAAGTAAATGCATGGTTACGGTCAGCCATCAGATACATGTGCAGGTTATAATCTAGACCTTGGTGCTAGATTCATGAGAACTATGAGGTTTGTCCTGCTGAATCTCTTCTCAGGGTTATAGAAACAGCTGATCTCCCAGAAAACATATTTTTAAACAAAATCTGTCATGTAAAAACTATTCACATATCATAATCAAAGTAGCTAAAGTTAGTTTGCAAGAACCTTCAGTTGTTTCACTCAAAGGGAAAGATGAATGATTTGTTTTTACAGGAATTAAATGCCTGGCCCACAAAATAAAAATAAAAACAACAACAGCAAAAAGCACTATTCAGTTTACTTAATAGCTTTTTTTTTAGCCTCAGAGATAGGTAGTATAAATTAAATTGTTGACAAATACAGTGTATAAAGAAGAATCTTAGAATCTTTGCAGCATTGAAAACTCTAGCCATTGAACATAAATGTTCTTATCTACTACTGATATTCAGCTGTCAGGATAAAACTGACATCTCCACAGGATGTCATCTGTTGAAATACTTTCATAAATGTTGAACAGTGCAACTACTAGTTTGTAGTAAGTTAAATCTGTCAATGATGTCATGATTCATTTACATTTAATTACAACCAACCCATAAAAAATATCTAAGGAAAAAAAAATCTAGTAAGTTGAAGTAGAGGCACCCTCAATACAAAGCTGATCTCTATGAAATAATCATTGCTGGCAATTGAGTGTAAATCTTTGAATTTCATTATCCATCATGAATTTAAAAAGGAAAATTTTGAGGGAAAGGGTAAGTGAAATGAGAGAAAATTTATTAAAATTAAATTTGGAAGCACTGAGAGTTCAATATTCTCTTCCTATAAAACTACTGGGTACAAAGGACCAGCTAAAGATGACGCCATCAGGACACTGGAGTCCTCACCCTTCTAGCTGATAAAATGTAACAGTACTGGACTTGCTTTTGACCTTACCTAGAGCCTGAGGAAGGATTAGCTGTGAACCTCGACTTCCAGAGCCATTTGTTGGCATTCAAAGTGTGTTACTTTCTCTTGCTTTGCCATTTCTTGGAGGTGGGAGTTGGGGTAAACGCTATGATTTTTTCTGTTGGGACCACAAGTGCTTATCTGTAATAATTTCTCATATTTAACACTGTTATAGGGTAAATGGGAACCTGCTTAGGTTCCTATAGCCCAGGAGTACCCACAGGAAAGCCCACAGAAAAGTGATTGACAGTGATTACTCTCCTCCATGCATCAACTGTGTTGCCAAGTAACAGGACTGCATCCCTGGTCAGGACAAGTTACAGTTTCTCCAAATTCTTTGTATATCAACAACTTTCTGCAATGCTGACATTCCAATTGTCTACCAGGATGAGTGAGAGGGAGCTTATTCAAAACAGGGTCAGGGAGATGGGTGCTAACACAAACAGACAAACCATACATGATGCTTGGAAGCAGCCTAACAATTACCTTCACTCAGCAGGGCTTCCAAGTATTCTTGTAAACAAGATGCCACACCTAAGGAGTATCCACTTCTGTTTATACTCTTCAACTTTACAAATCAAGGGAAGGGACTTCTGTTTTTATTTCTAAACATTAGAACTCCCTATTTGGAAAAGGGCCCCAGAGATTATCTGGTTTTGTTCCTTATGTGATTTTACAGAGCTAAGACTATCTAAAAAGGAATTATCTAAGGTCACACAAGGAACCTAAGACAATGCTAGAATCCATGCCTTCTATGCGCACTTCATTGTTAAGAAATGCTCTTGTCCCAGAGGACATTCACTTCATTGATAACATAATTGGCATGATGGCAATATTTTGCTCAAACTCATCCTGTCCTCTCTGTTTGCAATGGCATCACCAATAGAAGGGAAAAGAGCTCTGCTCCTACACCTATGGCCTGTGGGTAGAGACTCTTCCGAGGCTATGGAAAACCTAGCAAGAAAAGCCCTTCTTGTCTCTGGGACACTGTGAGAAGCATATGTAAGCGCAAGAGGCCAAAAAGCATGGTGACAGTTCTACAGCTCCAGGAAAATTACGGGAGGATGGAGGAGATCTATTTTGTCTGAGAACTGGGAGTCTTCAGATAATGAGGAAAAAAGCAAACTGGAAACCTATGTGTGCTTCTTCAATCAACAGCCTCTCTTTACACTGTGAAAAAGCCATTCCATCAGCTGTATACATAGGCTGAAGTCATTCTGAGTCACAGTCTCTTACCCCAAAAAACAAGCATATTTCTGTGACCCTGTACATAGGAACAGAAGTTTTAGACTCTTTCATTAAATGGGTACACAATTATGTGATTTTAACCAAAATCAAAATTTAGTTTAAGTTTTTCAAAATTCAGCATTGCTTTCATGCTGACTTACGGCTGAGAGATGAAAGAAAAGAGTGAACACTATCTAGAAAACCCAAAGGAGAGCCTCTATTTGTATGGTTGAGGTCGATACTCAGTAGCCTCATTTGAAAATAAGGATAGTTACAAAATTTGCTGACAGGCCAATGCACTCCACCAGAAGGGTGCTTCATCTTTAAGATCATTGTATTTAAAAGAAATTCTGATTTTAATCTTCTTAAATTGTTTTATAAAGTGTTTCAATGAGAGGAGTGTTTGAATGGTCTAGGCAAGCATACAGAGAAATGAGAAATAAGTTAAACAGGCATCACACAAGCATAATCTAAGGGACATTAACACTTCTTGACCAGATTTAATATGTTCAAGTCCCTACATCCTTCCCATCACTAGACTTTTAGATTGCTTGTGACTGCAAAGAGGAGATGTGAAGATAAAACAAGAGTAACTGTCAAAGCAATGACAGTATTTTAGCTTAAAGACAGACCAAGGCCTCACGGCATCTTCTTCCCACATCCACACGGAGCCCTGACTTCATGGCAGTGCAAAGGGCAATGATGTACCTTAGACGAACCTTCCCCAACCGTAAACACTGAGAAAATACTGGTCAGCCTCCACCTCACACTATCCCCAATGGAAACAATACAGGACTGTAAAATATATACTATGTATATTCTTCCTGAAGTGAAAAGAGCCACTTTCTAGATTAAAAACAAAACCCAAACAGTCTTCTCCTAAGAGTTTCCAAATGTGCCAAACTGATGGCATTAATTAAAGTACATTTCATATTCTAAGTAAAGGGGAAAAGAACCTCACCCATAGGCAACTCCTGCTACGGTGCACTTCTTAAACTGCATCACATTGCATGTCAGAGTACCAGTTTTGTCCGAAAATATGTATTTAACCTAAAAACAAGATTGAGATTCTCATTAATATTTCAGTTTTTGAAATGTCTGTTCTGGGGATTGAACCCAGGACTTTATGCATATTAGGAAAGTGCTCAACCCAGGAGCTACATCTACTCTTCTTGAACTTTTTACAGAGGGAAGAAAATACTTAAATTGCACTTTAAAAAATCAACTTGTTATACCCTAGGGATGTAATGACCACTACTAAGTACTTTTTACACATTCGTTAAGGAACACATTCAGCCTTATTAGTATTTTAGCAATAAATTATTTCATATATGGGTATAAACATGTATTAGAAAAATTACAGTCATAAAAAATCTGCTTTAGTATGGTCTGAATTCTTTTTTTTTTTGGTCTTTTCAAGACAGGGTCTTCTTGTAGCCCTAGCTGGCTTGGAACTCACTATCTAGACCAGGCTGGCCTTGATCTCACAGAGATTTGCTGCCTCTGTCTCCCAAGTGCTGGGATTAAAGTCTTAGGCCACCATGGTTTGAATTCTTAAAGAAAATGTCTCTGAACTGGGTGTGGTGGTACATGCCTTTAATATCAGCACTCTAAAGGGAGAAGTAGGTAGAGCTCCTTGAGACTCAGGCCAGCTGGGGTTTCAGAAAAACCCTGTCTAAACAAACAAACCAAAAACCAAACAAACAAACAAAACACAAAACAAAAGGTGTCTCTGCTGTTACCAAACACTTAGTGCTAAGACACCAATCAACATGTTTCAATACAACAAGCAATTATAGAATTGGCAATAGTTTGTGCAATTAGCTTTATACAACATCTAAATTGGTAAGAACAGCATAATTTTGTCCTAAATGCAACTGAATTGCATGAGTTGAAAAGCAGCAATGGTATGAGGAAATAAAAATCTTTTTAAGCTAGTATATATAAATGGATTACAAATATACATACACAGGCATGTGTCACTTAAGGATCCTTCAGTTAATGAAGAATTGCAGATATACTGATCCCACAAGACTACACTGCCTAGTGATGTCAGTCATCAGAGCCTAGCAGTGCAATTTATGAGGTTTACATAATGACAAGATCACCTAACAGTGCATTGCCCTCAGAACACATCCCTGTTGTTAAGTGATGCATGGCTGTGTATGTTAATGAGGTATGAGTTATAAACCTAAATTTCCTATTTGACTAGACACACACAACCTGAATGTTTCTTTCTAGATGAAAGTTATGAACCATTCTATTACTATTCTTACAACTCAAAAACAGCCAATATTTTACAAACTAACCAGACTCTCAACTATGAGACATGCCAGGCTCATGCAGTTTCTTACTTTAAAAACAAAACTTGCTTTAGTGCTTGAAAGCTCCATTTATTACAGTGAACATTATTAATCATGTACAAAGAAATGTATTTATGTTTATTATTCAAACAATGGAAAATCAGGAGCTCTTACTTTATCTGAAGTCACTACTTGAGGCAGAAATGGTACAAAATCTCACTCTGGTTCAACCTGTATTATTAAAGACTTTACCTGGCCAAGTTCTTCATTTAGATTCGATGTTCGAGCCATAGCAGCAGTGTCTGTGGGTTCATAGTGCATGTCAAGATCCTACAGATAAAAAGGGGAAATCACTGAATTCAATTGCAAATAGGGGATCGGGTGAAGTTGTAAAAGAAATCAATTAGTTTTCTCATGTTTTCATAAGTCACTGTTTGACTGCTGAGCTATATGGAATCACTTTAGTTTCTTGCTATTGCTATAGATTTCATATGATTTTCCTGAAAAGTATTCAATATGGAACATCACATTTCAGTTACAACAGGATAGTATGGTAGTGAGAGCTTGACTGTGGAGTCAGATCATCTATGTTTACCTCTTCTATTTTCTTTTTAATTTTATTTTGTGTATGCATGCATTGCCTGCATGTAGGTAAGTGCACCCGTGTCGTGCGATGCCTGCAGAGGTCAGAAGAGGCTGTCGGATCCCCTGGGACTGGAGTTACGGACAGTTGTTAGCTGCCATGTGAGTGCTGGGATTTGAACCTGGGTCTTCTGCAAGAACAACAGTGTTCTTAACCACTGAGCCATCTCTCCAGCCCCTGTTCTATTTCCAGTAAAGGTGTCCTACTGTAAGGATTAAGTTATGCAATACAAGGAAGTTATCCCTAGAGTGCAAAGGTAGCTGGTTAATGACGTTAGCTAGAAAGGAACAGCTAAATGCTGTTCACATAATTAGATATTCAGACTATTGGAAAGGTTATCTAAGAGGCCACATCTGGTTGCACTTTCTAGGCTGTTTCTTTAACTGCTTATACCTGAAAGCCAAACAAATGCACCTCTTGAACATCGAACAAAAAAGCATAGTTTTGCACTTATTTGAACTTTCCTTGCACTCAGTAATCATGAAGTCTGACAACATTATCCAACAAAATTAATGTTTTCTTATTGTAGAATATTTTACCAACATGTTTGGACCGTAGTTTACAGATTTTCACAATGAGAAGGCCCAAATCTCAAAACTGGTATTTCTTATACCTGTATTCGGAACTGGTCAATATCACTTTTGCACTAGGCTCTGAGTTTACAAGTCATGTATGAAGATAGACATTAGCTAAGTTAGTCATGTTTAGAGAAGAGCAAAGAGTGACTATTTTGTGTCCCAAAATAGGTTTCCTGAACTAGAGACCAATTTTTCTCAGGATGTATGGTTTATAAATTTGCCTTATTCTGAGGAGAGAGACTTTGTTAAAATCATATTAGGCTCAAAACACCATCATAGAGTCAATAAATGCAAGGTGTAATTAAGACTCCCTTTTTTTCCTTCTGACGGATCAAAAGACCCTATCATAAGCAAACAAACAAAAAAGACAAAATACATAGTTAGGAAGATCACACATAAGATTAATTCATATTTACCCAATTTATGAAGTATGCCTGGGTAAACTTCACCACTTCTAATGTAACCAACAAGCTGATAGGAATGAGATTGTTGAAAAGGATAATGAAAGTCAAGAAGTTCAGGCCAAAATTATTAGCACCGCCATCTGTTGGGGGAGGTGGGAAGAATACAATTCACAGTTTCATATCTGCAATGACAAAAATTTAACACGACACCAATTTTCTCTAATACATTGCACATCTTGATAAACTGAGGAAGACTTTGCTGATAATACATCCCGATTCTCATACGTTCTTCAATACATACCTTCTTTAATGTGGAACTGCAGTAGAGATGCCCCCCGACCCCCAATCTGGGGTTCCACATCAGCGGAGCCAACCATGTAGACTGAAAATATTCTGGAAGAAAACTGTGACTATTCTGAACATGTGCAGACTTATATCAAGTAATCTAGATATTATTTAAAGTATGTGGGAGAATATACATAGGTTATATGCAGATACTATGCCATTTAAATTAAGAAGTTTGGGCATCAACCTGTGTGTTATGGTAGTCTCATGGTATCCTGAAAACAATTCCAAATGGATACAGAGGGACACCTAACTGTGCTTGCATTCAGTATGCTGTTAATTCTACTAAGAGCTCCACAGTGGTACTAAAAAGTGAAAGAATCACCGGTATTGCAAATTGTGTTCCAATCACAAAATTCAGAGATACCAGGAATAGGGTCGAGGGTTTGTAAGCATAAAATTTCAATGGAATAGAATCACTTGTATGTGACTTCTTAACAAGCGTTTTCAAACTAAAGCATGCTTCAGAATCAAACAAAGCAATAGCAATGAGAACAGGTCAAGCTGTATATGAACTGTATTTATTATTTATTTCCTTATCTATTTATTTATTTATTTTCACTATGGAGGGTCAGGGCCTTGTAAATATTAGACAAGTGCTACCAATTGAGCTACATCCTTAGCTCCATGGGCATTATTCATTTGTAGGCAATTAGTTCATCTAAGTAAATCAACTTCTCCTCAAGAGAAATAAAACAGGTAAGCCAAATATGCTGTAAATAATATAGAGAAACAAATTGATCACTGCAACAACATTTTTCTATGCTGAAATAAATCAATGACTATAAAAACTTGGAATAGCTGCAAAGTTAAATGAATATAGTAAAAACCAGCTTTGAAATCTGTTCTGGCTATAAGATTGTACTATAATTTGTTTTCACACTTTGGGAGAATTAAGTATTTACTGGCTAAGTAGTCATCAAACAGAAACGCAAATTCTCTTCCTGAAAATACCCAGGAGGGATGCATTGCAATAATAGCAGCAAGGGGATGCATTGCTATGATAACAGCAAGAGGATACAGGCTCTAGACAGAAACAATTTATACCATTCTCTCTGAGACAAGATGAGCATTAACATTAGACTCTACTACTGAGTTCAAATGAAGGTACATTGAGTCCAAACATTTTTAAAGCATTTAAACTATGTTTTGGGAATATATACACTTATAATTTCTTCTACACATACTCTACTTTCATGAATTTAACTGCTGTGTTTAATGCATTTTTAAAGGATAGCTTTTATTTTTATATATTATGTTGATGGATATTTTTACTGAACATTCTATAGTACTCTGAAATGGAAGTATGTTTTTTAAGGATTTTGAAGCTTAGAGATCCTAACATTTTACTTGCTTTTACTGGAACTCTATTGAAAAGTGAAGACAACCAGTTATCTTAACCACAGGTTTTCTTTTTAGAAACGATGGGAAATTCCACAAATTCAATTAAGATCAATTGTGAAACAAACACACATTTAAATGAAAGCAAAAAAGAAACACGTCAGCACATTACTGCTTACAGTGTAGATTGAGGTACCAGTCTCTTCCTGAATGCCTTCGATTCCAAATGGCTGAACCCACAGAGCAGATGAGAGACATGGCAATTAAGATACAGAATAAAATCAGAATTTGTACATTTGTAATCCGTTCCACATTGGAGAGTTTGAGTGGTGGACTTGTAGAATTCTGTAAGAAATAAATAAATACAAACCAAAAAAAAAGCATAATTAGCATTGTGTACTTAGTATCTGATAAAGATGACAAAGTCATAACTCAATGCCTGGACATCTACTTAGTGTCTCTGCTCAGAAAAGAGACAGAAAAAAGTCCCAAAGACCCTCAAACATCTTAAAATTCTAATTTATGAAGGCAACGTTTACAGGCTGTCTGGTGGTCTTTATCAGTTGTTTACTGAACAAACACAGCAACAGTTCAAGTAGCGCCAGCTATAACAAATGAGAGAGAAACTGGGTGTGGCAGAGGCAGGAGGATTGTGAGCAAGCCCGAGCTACGGAGAACAAGGAAGGTTTCTCTGTTGTATGTGGTGGTTCAAATATCTATGATAGATTTGTGGTAACATCTATCATCTCAGGACAGAAAATGAAATCTTCCATAATCATATAAAATGAAGATTTACAGAATTTATAGCATGTCCAGGAGAAGAAACATTTCCAACAGTCCCACTTGCCTGCTGCTAGCATCTTCATGCCTGGATGATATTCAGAGGCATTGGCCCTTGGAATAGAACTCCATTTAGTATTTCAAAGTGCATTTCCCACACCAATCACACTACTGAACACAGATTACATTATAATGTAGAGCTGCAGCACACAGATGTATATAAACACCAGGAGGAAAGCTGGTGGTAAAAACAGCCATGAAAACATGGCTGTGGAAAAAATAAATAACATTTAAAATTTGATCACTATATTAAAATAAAATCATGAGACAAATATTTTAATGCAGAGCACTGTCTTTAACTGACTACTAGTAGTTGGAAAGGCTGCCATGGTTCAACATACAACATCATTGAGCATTCATGCATGTGGTGATCTCTGGGGAAACTTTCCAATATTCCTATGTGCAGTCAGCTCTTCTTGAAGGGAGTAAATTTCAAGGCTTCACTCCCTGAGTGACTTTGGATGTGTAGTATGGGACTAAGGAATCTCTGATATTTGGTCTGTTCTGTTTGGGACTACTGCACCAAGAGCCATGAATAATACAATTCTAAAAGGCTTAGTTCCAAAGGGTTTCATAGATAAGAATTCTTACCTGCATCAGCTTGGTGTCATGCCCCGTGTAGACAACGATGCCATGGACCCACTGAGTATTTCTTAACTGAGCACCTCGAAGAAGAATCTGGTCTGCTCCCAGAGGAACAGTGCTAGGACAGAGTATGTTGACATTAGAAATGTCTTTTTCCGAAATGCTCAAGAAATGCACAGCCACTGCAGAGTTCTCAAAGCTCTCACTGTTAAAATAGCCTTTCTTACATTCGCTTTATTGTCGGAAAAGAAATAATTTTCTCACCAAAAAGAATGATTTTCAAATATAACCGTTGGGAGAAGTTAAGTTGTTCCTTAATACCATACTGACCATTTCCTTTAACTTCACCCCTGCTACAGACTGCATGTATTTCCCAGATATTCCTATACTGAACTCCAATCCCATGCACCCTCATGATGAGACACCAGAGAGCTTGCATTGGCATGTAAACAGACACAGAGAGGACATCTTTGCCAGACAAAAAGATGGCCCCCATCAAAATCCAACTATGTTGGACCCTGCTCCCTGATTGGCATTCCCAAGAATAGTGAGAAACATTAATTTCTATTGATAAAAATCAACCATTTAAGGTCTACTATAATGGCAACCTGAACAAACCAAGACACTAACTCAAATAGCAGGCTATGTTTGGGAATGTAGAAGTGAATCCTCAAATCTATGAAATTTCCTGAGTTAATAAGTTCATTTGAGTTTCTTAAAACTTCCTATGTGGTGGGGCTACGAGATCTATCCCTATCCTCCCAATACACACACATGCACACACACACACACACACACACACACACACACACAGCATGTGCAAACATATACATATACACACATTCCACTTAAGTTACAAACAACTCTGCATATAAAAAGGGTTAAAAAACCTACAATTTAAGAGGAACACATAGCACTATTTGTTTTCTGGCATAACCATCCTTTTTTGCAGAGACAAGTCTCTGAACCTAAAACCTTATAACATTGTTTCATGGGGTTAGAATTATCTGTGTTCCAAGAATTGCACTTCAAAGCTATTCATTTCCTAGAATTTAAATCACATTTTCATGAAGAAGGTTCAAGTTGGGGCCTCTGTTCTTGTAAGGCTTCACTCTGGTAGGTTCCTGGGTGATATAGACTCAAACATAGACTTTAGGATACAACACTATCACAGATAGATTGAGTTTCTTGATGGAAATATAAGATATAAAACCAAATAGCTCAGAAATTTACATTAATCAAGTTTTTCATTTAATAAGAAAGCAAAACAAGAAAGTCAAATGTAAAGAAAAATGGACTTAAAAACTTTCTAGGAAAAGAAGAAAACAATTTCTTAGGGAAGCGTACAGGGAACACAGAACTTGTCTACCAGTGAAGGTCAAGTGAGACAGAAGCCTTCACTTCTGGTGGGCTTCTGTTGTCCAGTCAGCTTCAAAGGCCAGAGATAGATTGGGCATTGGACCTTCTTTAAGGAAATAAGCTGTCCTGGCTCAGGTGAAATCAATCCAGAAGATGGGTTAGAACTGCCCTGGATGAATCCTCACGGAAGAGTGCATTGCAATGTACAGAAAGGGCAAAAATAACTGTAACTCCCATTCCTTATGTACAGAAGCTACCTTCAGGACCCATCACGATGGGGATGAATCTTCAATTCTGTGAGCACTTATAAAATGCCCAAGGACAGGGTATTTTATATGAAAAAAGTTTATTTTGGCTCAGCTTGGACACACTGGGGACTGAACCTATAGTATGTGAACCTTCAAGGGACAAGACCATATCTAAATCACAGAAGAACCCTATTGTATATATATCTAGATCTGGGGTACACTTCAGGATTGGGAAGGGCCTTTGGGTTCCACAAAGTTCTTGAGAAGTTGCTGGAATTTGCTCCAGGACCTATGTGTGCCCACCGCTCCTCCCTTATTACAACTGCAGCACCTTCTTCACACCCCATGGCTCACACCCTGTCTGCTCCCCTTACAGTACCTGCCTCACTCATTCTCTATCTCCACCTTTCATATAAAATTAACTATAACAATGTTTCTCAAATCTTGGTAGCATCATACAAAGTTTACTTCATGGCCCAGATTTTTCTGACATCAGTTTAGTGGAGAGCTGGTAAGAAATGGAAGCTGGCCAGTTAAAAATGTCAGCCTTAAGAAATGCTGCTTGTATAATTGGCCAAATCCATCATTAGTCTATAACCATATGTTCAAGGAAAGACCACTCTGCAAAATTTAGAATAGCAATTACCTCAAAGATTATAGGAAAGCTTTTGGTGGATCTGAATTCATATAAGGGTGGCAGTTCAGGTATATTTCACATACCATTTATTGACTTATTTAATTTTTAAAGAATTTACTCTAATGCAGTTATAAAACAGTGAGATCAATGACAATGTCCCCCAGGCTGGCTGAACCAATGTGCTTCTAGCTGATGTTTAATTGCCACTGGAAATGTCTGGTAGGTAAGTTATACTATGTAGAGGGTGCAGGGGAAGAAGTGGTGGTGGCGGAGAGGACAGAAAAGAGAGGTGGGGCAGAAAATATCTCACTTGTCTTGCCAGGTTCTGCTTTGCAACAAAACCCCTTAAAAAAGGAGCCTATATTGTTACAGTCATCTCTTTCCCTTTGCTGTGCCTGGCACATGTCATCAGGTTCTACCTGCTCTAGTCAAGCGCCATGATCTCCACTTGCTAAAACCAACTGTGAATGTTCAGCCTCCTTGCACCAGATCACCAGTGACAGCTGACGCCACTTAATCCCTCCCTCTCTACTTCGGCAGTTTCTTCACCCTCTTGGTGTTCTAACCCACAGACTTGGTCTCTGGTCTCTGCTCCTCTCTCAGTCTCTCAATGTCGGACAGTCTTTGGACAGTCATTGAGTCTTTTCAATTTTTCTGTCTATACCCTTTCAATCTCAGTGATTTTGTCCAGCCCCAAGCATTTAAATATCTGTGCAAACTACTCCTAAAGTTATCCCAAAGTTCAGATATACATTCAACTGCCTCTTGGGTACCATAAACTCATTAAGTTCAAAACATAAGTGATGATCTTTCCCTTTCATAACCCACCCACAGATACCAAGTTTACTCAGAATACACCTCACAACAGGTTATAAAACCTATGCGATCCAGCCTATTATTATCTATTGGTGTCCCCTCTGCTCCTCTCTTCTCTGATGACACCATTCTGACCACAGTTATTCACACTATTCTTCCTTCCATATTCTGCTCCTTGCAGACATTTGGGTGATTAAGTTCCTCACCACCTCCCCCCTACTGCTCCAGTGACACCCACTGTCTAAAGGAGGCTGACTTCAACCAGGCTAAGTGAGTCCCTCCCAAATTATCTCTTTTTCTATGCTATTTTTCTCAAAGATTTTATTGCTTTTGAAAAAAAGAATAAACATGGTCAAATTTTCTTATTACTTTATTGTTTGCCCTTCTCTTACTTTACTAAAGAAAGTAAGCTCACAAGACGCTATAGTCAAAATTTCTGTGTCCCTTCAATATTTAGATATTGAAACTTAATCTTTAATACAGTATTTTGCATAGGATGTTGGTTTCTTGGGTGGGATTGATTAGGGCTTGAAAGTTCTGCCCTCATGGGGCTGAGGAGAGAGCTCAGTCAGTAAAGTGCCTGCTGAGCAAAGATGAGAACCTAGTTCAATTCCCAGAACCCACATTAAAAAAAGCCCAGTGTGGTGGTGTGAGCTTGTTATTCCAATGCCTCAGAGGGAGAGAAAGGAGATAGGAAGATCCCTGGGGCTCAATGGCCAGCCATCCTAGCCTACTCAGTGAGCTCAGACTAATGCAAGACATTGTCTTTGGAACAACACTGAGGTTGCTCCACTACCAGGAATGGTTCCTCACCAGACGCCAGATTTGGTGCCTGGATCTGGGACTTACCAGCCTCTCAGAAATGTGAGCAATGGATTTCTGTTGTTCATAAAAATTTCAATTTAAGGTATTTTGTTAAAATGGCCTGAATGAATGAAGACTCAAAGGTAGGGATAGTTTTCTGCTTGTTCGCTGTGGCTTCTGCAATATTCGTAAATGGTCTTGGCTACTAGGTACATAATAAATTCTGGCTGAATGAATGAAAGAAGAGATCAAGATGTACTGTATGAAATGTGCAAAAATTCAATAAAAAATTAGAAGAAGAGAAGTGGTCTGGTAGGAAAGACTAAAGGAGAGAAAGACAGGAAGCAGATAACAGAAAAATGTGGCTACAGGTGACAACGTGGCCTAGAAAAGACCACATAGAGTTACCCAGAGGAGACAAAAATATCCAGTATAATAAAACTACTGAGGTGCAGCCTACATTCCTCGAGGCATTTATAAATCACAGGAAAGAACCATGGTAATGGGCATTGGCTATGTAGGCACATGGTAAGAATTTGGTCAAAGAATAAGCCACAGGCTATTTACCAACCAAAGAATGCTCCAGAAGCCTAGAATATCCCTGAAAGTATCCAACTACCAGATTTGGCAGGAAAGTCTTTGGTTTCAGCCCATGAATATGTTACAATTTGCATTCTTACAAAAGGATATGGGATGGAATCTAGACACACTCAAAGCAAAGGTTCTGAATATTCACACTTAGAGCAGAGGAACACCCATGTGCACAGACGTAGAAGGCACTCAGCGACACACATGGTACAGTGAGTGCGTTTTACATACCCATGTCCATCAAGCCGTATATTCCCAACAAAATCATAGAGATGCCGGTTTGGACTTTCACATTCAATTCTGCCAGAAATTCTCATCAAACTGTCAATGTCTTTGATATCTGAGGTTGCTGGTAAGCCCTGTTCAAACATTTTCAAATAAAAAGATTATTTTAAATAAAAATTGTCAGGGTAGGGTGTTCATCCAGGTCTTAAAGTTAAGGAATCCCACTACTGTATAAGTAATTACCTCTCCTTACACAATATTCTGTCAAATCATAATTTGGGGCAACTTTCTCTTCCAACTTGAGCACAGACATTTGCATATAAGGATACAATTTTTGGGAGAGTTCTAAAGTACCCAAAGCACTATTTGCTTCCAAAAGTAAAAGTAACACGTCCTATTTCTGTCTGTTGAACCTGAAGAAGGGGATGAAACATGGGTATGGTCTGTGTGCACACAGGGTGTAGTTCTGTCCTCCCGCCCTCCATACCTCCTTCCTGTTCTTGGTTTTCCCCTGAGAAGAAAAACTTCAAAACAGTTTTTCATTGTCACTCAAAGTGGCAGGCACTGGGTACATCCCTCTACCTGAGACTTCTGAGCCCAGTTCCCTCATGATGATCCACTTTCACCGCCATCCAAACTTCCCACCTAGGATCGTCATCATTCACCAAGAAGAAAAGGATATGCATTTTTTTCCCTGTCTTTTTGAGACAGGGTTTCCCTGTAGCCCCAGCTGACCTGGAATTTGCTATGTAGATCAGTGTGGCCTCCATCTCACAGAGATCCACCTGCCTCTGCCTCCAGAGTGTTAGAATTAAAGGTGTATGTCACCCGCCCCCAGCAAGGATACACAGTTTTGAAACTCCCTTTTAAAACCTTGAAAATAAAAATGTTACAGTTGTTCTCTGCTAAAGACATTATGAAAAGTAACTATAGAGATATCAAGGAATTTAAATCCTTAAGATAAAAGAATTTCAGAATTGCAATGGAAATTTCAATTTTTTAGTATGGCAAACTGATATTAATTGGGGACAGGAAAAACAAATATGCTAACATGTCAAATCACTTAGAACTACAACTTCTACTATTATTATTATAATCATCATCATCATCTAAATATCAGCTCTTAGGAGTAATTAAAATAGCATAAATAGTAAATCTGAGTCCCACAATACTTAAATACCAGTTCATGAAACATTTTCACAGGGGTTCAATGAGAAAACAGTTGTAGTTGGACAGAATTACTTTCAGACAGTAAGAAAAGAGAGTAAATAGTGATTACAAGCCCATATTAGAACTTACTTGTCTAATTTTCAAGTTTGTTTCACCATCTAAATTGGATGTCTCAATGTAGCACATTGCCTGGGGCTCACTGTTGTTCAGAATTGAAAACACAAAGATTTAGTGGGAGAAATATAAAGGAGCACAGTAACAGCAACTTATTTAAGTGCTCAGACTCACCAAAGCCATGTATTCTAGACAGCTATAGCCACCCAGCTTCTCAGTGACTTTCATTCTTAGAGCAAGATGCAGTGAGTCAGAGCTCATGCGTGACCCTCTAATCAGCCTTCCAGCCAGGAGGACCCAAAAGCCATTTCCTGACAACACTTAGTAATGGTCTTAACATAATGAGTAGATTTGTCACATTATTTTTAAACTGCTTATTCATATAGACACAACGCAGACTATTTCTGAAATGTAAAGCAGTTTTGTGTCCAGATTTATCTTCAGCTTAGAAATATCAAGTCAGATTTTATGCTCATGGCCCACATGTAAATTGGTGTGCAAAACTGTTGATTAGAAAATTCCAGATTGTTCCTGCTATAAACTTGCACTAACTACCCTTTTAGTTGTGATGGCAGGATCATACGACCACATAAATATTAAAAACTTAGGGCCACTTTTAATGACTGTAAGAACAGATTTTACTATGAAAGTGGACATATACATTCTATTCTCTATTTTTCTGTTCTATTTTTAAAATTTGAGGTGTGTATGTGTGTGTGTGTCTGTGTCTGTGCATGTCTGTGTGTGTACGTGTAGTTGTATGAGCGCAGGTACACATGTCTGTGTGGGGGCCTGTGCTTGCATTTGTATAGAAGTCACAGGACAGTATCAGCTGTCATTCTTCAGGTGCTGTCCAAGTAGTTTTGTTGTTGTTGTTGTTATTGTTTCTGAGACAGGGTCTCTCATTGGGCTGGATCTAGCTGACAGGCTAGGCTGGCTAGTCAGTAAGCCCCTGAGATCACCTGTGTCTGATGCCCCAGCAATGGGCTTACTCTCCTGTGGGTTCTGGGGATTGGACTTCAGTCCTCATGCTTGTAAACACTTTATTGACTGAGCTATCCCCTCAGCCTGACTGAGATTTTGAGGCAGAAATTCTTAAACTAAAATCAGCCTACATAGTCATCTTGCTACTTATCCTGAACTTAGCACATCTGTCTTCTTGGGGCCCCACTTGAGTGTGCAGGTGGTGTAGTTGTAGTGGCCTAAGGGGACTGTGTTCTCTAGTTTTACCACAGGCATCTTACCCTAGTCTGTCTTCTGCCCTGCTCCCTATGCTGACTTTCCAGTTCCCAGTAGCCTGGCAACTACAGGCATATGAATGTGGCCCAACTGTAAAATTCAATTCTCACTCAACTCTATGGAAAAGCATTGTGAAGTTAAACCAGTCTCACTAACACTTGGCTATATAACAAGCCTAGTTTACTATCATATAAAAAAATAAATTTACAAGTTACAACATTTGGAATTTTTTAATCAACTTCGAATTTGCACATGTGTGAAATGGAATTTTAAGTTTCAGAATGGTTATTTAGCTTAGTTTTGTTGTCCTGAGATTTGCATAAGTTAAAGACATAGACAGTAATCAAATTTTATAGATTTATTTTAAAGTAACTTTGCAAGTGCTCCCATTCTCCCTCTGAGCTTTCTTTCATAAAGACTGCTATTTCCCAACTAGAGAACTCTTTCAGCATTTACATTTTCACCCTATCAATTACTCAAAAAATTATTTTAAAATTTATGTAATTTTGGTAATTGTCCAAATTTATAGTTTCCTTATATACATTTGAAACATGAATGGTTTCTAAAAACTATAAGACACATCTGATAACAAAGAAGCATGGTGACTCTTTACCTACGTAGTAAAATTAATTAAAATGTTACTGATAAATATATTCATCCAAAGCCACTCTCATATCAAAATGAGAGTAACATTCTAATTCTAACTTTCCTCCCTCACAAAACAACTTGCATGGCTTTCAATGTCTAAGAAATTAGGAAGTCTAAATGGCTCACTTCTGGTTCAAACAGGCCAATAAAATACACATCCCAATTTGGAACATTCTAATAATCATTTAAGAAAGCTGTGACCAAAACAGTTCTTAACAGGGCTGTGAAAAGGGAGCAAGAAGTCAGGAATCATGCTACGTCACAAACATTTAGCAAGTTATGATGACATCCAAAACACAAACTGCAGTCAGAGAAGCAAAGCAGGCTTTCTGATTAGGAAGTGGGAAAACGAAACAAGATGCATCTCACGATACAGACACTAGGAGACAGGTGATGTTTACCACAGTAACGTGCACTTGGTCACAACTGAGTGGGACAAAGACTGATCCCAAAACATGCAGCATAAGAATGTATGACATCCAGCTTTGTGCAGGGGTCCTCTATAAACCCTATACAAACCCAAATTATAGTCACATTCATTTTAGAAATTCCACAGAAGTTGTAGAAAATTTAAAATATGAGAACAAGAAAACATGCTTAAAATGTAATCAGTTTTCAATGAAAAGCTTAATGCTATTCAAAACAATATCCTGGAGAGGCAATAAGTTAAGCCTTAATGTTGAGGCATGTTGTTAAATATGAATACATGTTAATAATGCATGGGAAATTAAAAGCTCTTGGACTCCTATTGATAAAAGGAGTTGAATCTGCTCAGCTGAGCGGCAAACAACAGCCAGCATTGCATTCATAAAATGCCTTTAAAATCTCTCTGAAATTTGTATGACCTAGAAGAGTAAAAATGCCTGTGCTTTAAAGGAAGAGATGTAGAGCTCCACCATATTTGGGTGCAGTGTCTTTGGTTTAGGGTGAGGACCCACATACACACATCGTGTACAACTCCATGGTTCTGACCTTGAGGACAGACTGATGAGATCTGCTGGGAGATGCTCCCCATTGGCCACTTTCACTATTTCCCCTACTGCCACCTACACGGCCCAGTTTAAAATAATTAAAATGGGGAGAAAAAAAAGAAAACGAAAAACAGAGAAATAAAAACCAAACAAATGGACAAAAAAGACAGAAGTTTTGAAATTATTACAGAAAATAATTCATGTTAATAAGAATGTCTAATGCCAATTTTTTCAAAATTTATTTTGATCAGGCCTGAAGGTATATGAAAATATTTAATATTCAAAGACCACTTATTTGTGTTTAAGCCCAATTTTCACTTTTGAATATAAAAACTTTTATTTGTTATTTTTATTGTATGTGTATGAGTGTATTGCCTGCATGTAAGTGCACCCATGTCGTGCAGTGCCGATGAAGGTCAGAAGAGGGTACCACATCCCCTGGAACTGGAGTTACAGATGGTTGTTAGCCACCTTGTGGGTGCTGGGAACTGAACCCAGGTCCTCTGCAAGAGCAGCAAGTGCTCTTAACTGCTGAGGCATCTCTCTAATCAACTGTCAGTTTTTAAAGTTTGCATACAAGCATTTCTTATCAAATTAAATAAAAGCATTTTGTATTGAGCTCCTTTGTCTTACGCTTTCCTTTTCTAACTCCTCTATTTGGTGTCAATTGTATCTCCACTTCTGCCAAGTAAACAAATAAATGATTTAAAAATTATCTGTTAGCAATTTGAAAAATCAAATATACATTAGCTCCCTCCACACTAAAAATTTTATGATTCCAAAACATTTTCAAAATTGACTATATCAGCATCATATTAACTTTCATGGAAAGCTGCAAAGATGTAGATCTTAGGGAATCTGAAGAATGACTGCACCATTTGCAGTTATTTAATAATTAATAAGGTAGAAGTAATACACTGTGGTTTGGGGTGGAGGGGTAAGCCCTTAAATCCATAGAAATTTTTTAGGGAGTGTATGAAACACACAGAAGCAAGACTCTGTCCTGACTTGAATTAATAGCTTTAGTTATTTGATTTTATCCCTTTTTGGTGCATAAAGAGTAGTTGTTATATGCTAAAAATTCAGTTTCTTCATTCCAAAATAGAAGTCAATGAAACTCAGTAACTTTCAAGCTTGTTCTACTTTAATTTCAAACTACCATAAGCTCATCCTGGAGCTTGTTCTCCCAGAGACAAGTACAATCAATAAGCTAACAGCTACGTTTTGGAAACTCTCCCTGACACAGTTATAACAAAGGAAACTAAGAACAGAAAGTCTTTCTTAAGAGACAGTCATATTAATTATCTTAATGAAGAAAACTATTTTTATGTCACACAAAGTTGTCAGTTATAAAATATGGAAATACAACTGCCTCAGTCATTTCAGCTGCCTGCTCACTTGCTTTTATGAATATCTGAGTATTATTTTCCTGATTATGCTCCATTTGTCAAAAATCCAAACATTTTACTTTATTTAAAAAAATTTTTTTTTGAGGCAAGGTCTTCCTGTAGCCCCAGTTGGCCTGGAATTCACAATGTAGACCAGGTTGGCCTCGATCTCACAGATATCCACCTTCCTGTCTCCCAAGTGCTGGGATCAAAGGTGTGGGCTATCAATCTGGCTCAAAAATCCAATCACTTTAAGTCATGACCTGATTAAATAGATTTTGAAAAAAGGACACTGTCCATATTTTTACGTGGATTTTACAAATCAAACTGTCCAAGGAAATGATGATAAACAACTTCAACAATATTAAAAACATTACTTCTTGATTTATATTAGGATTAGTTATATGGTTTTAAAATCCTAAAGCCATTTGAAAATAACATTCTTTAAATGGAAAATGTGCCACATGTTCTGAATATTGAATCACAATGATCTTAAATATGAGTATAACAAATTATCTAAATTCAGTAACATAAAGGACTTAAAGAGTAAAGTAACTATTTTTTGGTTGGAATATTATGGCATTTCCAAAGATATGATGGCAAAAAGAAATCATTTGCTCATTTTCTTGTACTATTTCACCATAAGGATCAGGAAAGTTTGCAAGGTATATGATTGCACCACAAAGGAATTTATGATGAACAAGGACTGAAAGATAAAAATCAACAGAGCCCAATCCCTGGATGAAATCAAATAAAGGACAAGAGATCTTTGTTAACAGAGTTAGTGGTCTGCACACATGGATCTATTTGAAGCCAGAGGAAGAGGAGACCCTCAACTTTGGATTATGTAGTACCTGTTACTTATTCTATATGACAAATAGTTGGCCAATTAACTTTTTAAATGCTTAATTAAACATTATTAGAGAGGTTTGGATTTCTTCGTTTATTCTTTATTTCCTTGGAGAAATCACAAGGCCAATGCAGGGTAGAGAAATCATCCTCTACACCGTTTGAGCATCAGTAGGTATCTCTACCTTGACGAGAGAAGTACAGTGTCAGCAGGTATATACTCTTTGCCTTTTATTATAACTATATCTCCAACATTTACCTGAAAGAAAACTGGGAATTGGTTAATTATCTGCATGGAAAGATGGTGAAAATATACAACCCACTGTATTAAAGCACAGAATACAGAGGAAACCAATCTAACCTTCACAAAATGGCATACGATTATTTTGGGGTGAAGCCAGAGATATGGGGAATACTTTATAAAATCAATGTGTACTTGTTTTATCTGAAATATAACTTATCTTACTAAAATTTATTGATCAAGTCTATCTGCATAGCTGACATCTTAACCTCTTATCGCTCTCTTTGACATAAAACTAAAAAGGAGGAATCTGCCAATTGAGATCTTTACCCTACTTAAGAAAGTCTTTGTACAGCTGGAGAAATTCCCATATATATATGACGATGGTTACTTTTTACAACGTCCTTTATGAAACAAGTAGTCACCATAATTCATACTTTATAGAAGAAAACATCTAAAATTCTAAGTTTCTAAGTTGTATGCTAAGGATGAGTAGAAAAGCCAAGTCAAACCCACAACTGCCTGTCTGCAGTGCTTGATTTTTGCATAATTAAATTTACTGAAACTATCATTATAATTCAAATAAAAGCTAAGCAGCTTAATTTCTTTATTATTTGGTAACATTTTTCCTGAGCATAGCATGAAGATGAATTAAGGATATACTGTGGACAGAAACAGAAGTAATTTGTCAGCTGTCTTACAGGTTTTGGCAAACAGTGCATCTCCAACTAAGACACAACCTGGCTCAGCTCAGTAGCAGTACCCTTAGTGGGGATCAAAATAGGAAATCACTGCAGATGGGGCCACTGTGTTCTGTTTGATGCATTGGAGAGAGTAAGTGAGGGAAGGCTGGAGAGGGCTGCCTTTTAAAGTATGATGTATATGCTGGTTACCTACGTGGGCAAGCTTTGAATGGCTTGATTACAAAAAAAAAAAATTACTTCAGCTAAAACTTGAAATGTAGACAATGTAAAAGTGCTAAAATACCAAGGGTGTTGGGATCAAACACTCACACTTTAAACAGGCTTTAAAAACACTATAAAAACCGATAAGTTATAAATACAAACTGTCCCCTAAGATAATGTGTTGAGACAATTAACAGAGCAGCCAATGACAACAAGATTATGCAATATAAATGCTCAAGGCACTTAGAGAAAATGCCACCTACCCAGGGTATCATTTCATTGTTTTTTAGTCATCTCCCAAGTGTTAATGTTTTTTCTCCAATTAAACACACTATAAAAACCGATAAGTTATAAATACAAACTGTCCCCTAAGATAATGTGTTGAGACAATTAACAGAGCAGCCAATGACAACAAGTGTATGCAATATATATGCTCAAGGCACTTAGAGAAAATGCCACCTACCCAGGGTATCATTTCATTGTTTTTTAGTCATCTCCCAAGTGTTAATGTTTTTTCTCCAATTAAACTATATGCTTCATAAAAACAGAACTGTATTTATCTCCATCACAGTGTTAGGTTAAATTATTCTACTTACAAAAATTCCTAATTGATTGCAGTGATTCCCCACCTCTGTATTCATGGTAAGACAACAGAAAGCCTTGGGGCTAATAAGCTGAAGGAAATATTACACCTTATATGGTATACTGGAAAAGCCAAAACTCACTAATTGCCCAAGTCCTCATATGACTTGAAGTCAGGGAACTTCCTCATTTGCCTGTGTTTTAGAGCAGTTTCTCAAAGATACTCAAGCAGCTCCCTTTCCTTTTGGATTTTGGTTCTTAACATGGCATTCTCTATTTTAAATTTCAATTCCACTATAATAGGAAGAGGCTGAGGAAAAACCTGTCATGACAGAAATGCTTTAACTACATATCCACTTGGTGGAAGTTAAGGAAATATTTAGGGCTTTTTTGGAGGTGGGGGTCTTCTTTTGAAATAGGGTCTCCCCATGGCCCCAGCTAGCCTAGAACTCACTATGTAGACCAGGCTGGCCTTGAACTCACAGAGATCTTCCTGCTTCTGTCTCCTAAAATACAGATACTCTATTTCCACAGGTCACATACAGATTTTGTTTGTAAGTATACCACATATTAGAAGGAATGAGCGTTCATCTTCCTATATTTCCTGATGATGTGGCCAACGTAAGATTAGTGCTAGCTTTGGCATATTTATCTTGAATTCATCAATGAACCAAGGTCATTAATTGTAATTATCTGGTTACAATTATTAAATAACATCAGGCTTTTAGCTGGGGGACTTTTGGCAAGATTCTAAGTTCTGTGTTTCAATCTCCAGGGTGATTAACCATACTAATCATGAGTAATCATGTTGGTGATTTAATGTCTTTCTCTATTAAAACTTTAAAGATGATAGTTACAGCAATCCATGTAGACTGGCACAGCCTCAAGATAATGGCTATTAGAAAAATAAGAAAATGTGAATGTTAATTTTAGAGTGAAGTAGGAGAGAGTTATCTCCTGATTTTGTATATTTCCCGAGTAAGAATTCTAGATAAGAAGAAAAACCCTGATACGTTAATTTGCTAAAATGTGTACTTCTGTTTAACACTACTGATGACCCTAGTATTAAATATAGTAAGAATTCCATTCAGTGGATTTTATTCTACCCGATCTGTCTTCTCTCTACAATGTTGAAATCTGCCAGTCCCAGACAAGACCATAAAAGAAAGTCTGAAAGTTCTTGGCTTTTTGGTTTTCTACTTCTTTTTTTCTGAAACAGAGATGGCTACCACAGAAATACAACATAATGATAATAATTTCCTCCTTATTATTCTTATGTCAAAGATGAGAGAACAGAGAAAGGTGAACTTCCAACTGTCTAGAAGAGGTGATGTCAGTCCCTATTCTAGCTACTGATTCAAAAATCAACAAAAATGCAATTTGTTTCTTGAGAAGAGACCTTACCACTTCAGGGACACAAAGTGACCATGAATGTCACAAGGTAGAATCAAATACATGGACTTCAATGGAGTACAAATGAACTGGCAGTGACTCATGCCTTTATTGTCCCACAAGATACTGTCCTGTGAGACAGGCCTCCAGTGTTCACTGCCCTGGCCTCCAAAAATCATTTAGTAAGTCATAGAGGCCATTCACTGTGGATAAATCTTCCAGAACATAGGGAGAACTAATAATAATCATTGCTTACCTTTTAAAAGTGAACTCTGAAAAGAATGAACACTTGGATAATACTTGCTGAATTATGACTCAATTCACTAACTGCCACGTTAGAGGACCTAGCAAACAAATTAACCTCCAATGTCATGGAACTGATTTTTGATTCACTAGAAAATGGTGTTTAGTTTTACATGACTATTGTCCTTAAAATAGTAGTCATATGCAAACTGGAATAGTTTCACTATATGAATTTGAAGTAAAGCATACAAAGGTGAAATATTAGAACTCTAATTTTTATTTTACTTGGACAGTAGATGATTAAAACAAAATTTATAATGCAAAAAAATAAAATCTATGAAAATAGTACTCAAAACATACTGTAAAAGAAAAATGTTCTAGATTTACTTTTCAAAACAAGTCTTTATAGAAGAAAGAATACAGAAATACTGAACACATGTAGCCAAGTGGACACTCCATGTATGTTTACATTATTACTAAACAGCTTCCATATGAGTGGAATTATTTGCTTACAATGCATACAAAAATTATGTCTGTTAAGTACACCTCTATGCATTTCTTCTGGAACAAAATGAAAATCAATGCATACCTTTTCCCAGTGAACAATTTCCCAAGCACCATTTCTCAAAACTGGAAAAAAAAAAAAAAAGGTGACATTTTTAAAGAACATTTTTTTTTTTTTTACTACCAATCAAAAGGCTATTTCTGATGAAATGATTACTGCAAATAAATAGCTTCACATGGAATGGCTAGCAGCAATATCATAGATTTGGAAAGTTTATTGTGATAGCAAAGATGGGAGGATTATGCAAAGAAACAGAAACTTCCAGAATCCACTTTAGCTCCCACCCGTGATGAGACGCCACCTCACTGGTGCTGCTATATGGCTCTACTGGCATGTAGGGGGATCACTGGCATGGACTGGAGGAAAAAGTCTCAAAAAATATTTTAAAAAGGAAATGACAAGCCAGGCATGGTGGTGCACACCTGTAGTCCCGGCACTAGGGAGGCAGAAGCAGGCAGATCTCTGTGAGCTCAAGGCCACCAGGGTCTACATAGTGAGTTCCAGGCCAGCCCCTTTACAGGGAGACCCTGTCCCACAAACACCAATTTAATAAAAAAAAAAAAGGAAATGACTGGCTTATACCCGTTTCACATGATACAGGAATAGCAATTTTGGGAAAAGAATCACAAGCAGGAAAATAACAATTCTAATCAGTGAGATTTTAACACAAAAAAAGCAACATAAAAGAACCTGTATCAGGGGTTGGAGAAATGGTTCAACAGTTAAGAGCACTGGCTACTCTTGCCCTGGTATGGTTCCCAGGTCCCACCTGGTGGCTAACAACCGTCTATAACTCCAGTTCCAGGGAGAACTGATGCCCTCTTCTGGCCTCCATGGGCATTGTATGACACAGATTCACTTGCATACATGCAAGCAAAATTTACATATAAAATAAAAATAAACAAAACCCTTAAAGAACTTGTCTCATTAAGTTCATGATAATACAAAAATAGCAAAACATTCCATGCTTGACTTATTGAAAATAGTGAAAGAAGCTATTCTAAAAATATGAGAGAAGAGTATTTTATGGTTGACTCCATGCTTCACTGTAATACTGTTACTAACCCTCCCTACTATTCAGCTGCAACATAACCCTGCATTATACTAATGCATACCTAAAAGTCCAAACAGTGCAAGGTAATAATGTGATGACTTATAGAAAAAGTCAAAGTCCATTAATAAATTATGCACAGTAAATTCTTGGGGCAAAGCTAATGTTTGTTTTAACATTACATCCTTCAGAAACAGCACAGCACAGCATGATAGAAGGTTAGAAAATAAACAATTTATAGGTAAAAATATACGGCATTCAGTTCTCTTGATGTTAGAAGATACAGAGCCTGAGCCTTCTAGAAAAGTCACAATGATAACAATCTCTCAAAGCATCAAACAGAAAATATAACATTCCTTACCAATAAGTCTATAATTCTTGTGTTTCCAAAATGCCCTTCAAACAGGGGATGCTTCCTTTTTTATTTTTTATTTTTTATTTTTTTGTCTTTTTGAGACAGGTTCTCCCTGTCCCCAGCTGGCCTGGAACACACTATGCAGGCCAGGCTGGCCTCAAAATCACAGAGATCCATCTGCCTCTACCTCTTGAGTGTTGGGATTAAAGATGTAAGTCACCACACTCAGCTAACAGGAGATGCTTCTTACTCAATACTTTATTTCTAATAATCTGTAGCACTTCTGCCACATAATATACTCAAATGCTCGTGGAAAAGTAAATAAAAGAATACCTTATAGTGCATCTTGGTGAAATAACTTTATTAACTTCAAGTTGAAGGGCTAAAATTAGAGCATGTATTGAATAAGTTAAAAATCTTGTTTTTAATGCTACTCAAACAGATAGGGGCCACGGACCTGAGCCATATACATACAGAATACTATCCTAGTCTCCAAATCTCTAAGGCCTACAGAGCTCAACCAAACTGATCTCAGGAGGAGGCCTGCTCCTTGACAATGCTCACATAGCACCACTTTAGAGAACATGACTCTCTGTGAAAAGCCTGGGTTTAGGTCTTTCTGCCAATGCCTCCCAGTGTCTTCCTGAGAATAGTTTGCCACCAAGAATCAAGAATAAAGGAGAGTAAAGTCCCTATAGAGCATAACCTAGCAGCTAAAATATAAACAAGTATTGATTAGGAGAGCTGGCCAAGTGCTATCCAGAATTCTAAGACAGACTCAATGTTTGGACTAAAGGTTCACATTGATTAACTTCAAAATAAATTATTCAATAATGTTTAGATCTTTTATTGACATTTCTTTCCTTATGAGACTACCTCTTATTAGTAAACATTACTCCAACTCCAATATTTGGCTTGTGTGTGTGTGTGTGTACACGAATAGTATGCATATATGTAGGTGTATGTGTGTATGTGCTTGTGTGGAAACCAGATGGTGACATCAGGTGTCTTCCTTAATCACTCTCCACCTTATATATTGAAACAAGGTATTTTGCTGAACCCAGAACTAGAGTAGCTAGCCAGTTCCCCTTATCCTGGGGATACCCTGTCTCATCTGCAGAGTTCTGAGTTTATAAATTGACTGCCACACCTGCCTGGCTTTTGTGTGGGTTCTAGGGATCCTAAATCTGGTCTTCAAGCTTGCAGCATAGGAAGGTCCTTATTTACCTGCTGAGACATCTCACCCAGCCTTGGATTTTTGTTTTTGAGCCAGGGTCTCCCTGTACCCCAGATGACCTGGAACTCACTATGTAGAGCAGGCTGGCTTGATCTCACAGAGCTCCACCTGCCTCTGCCTCCTGAGTGCTAGGATTAAAGGCGTGCATCATTACACCGGGCTTCTTGACTATTCTTTTTTAAAACCAATGTCTAATATTTCTAAAATAGATTTGACATGAAAAGGTTTCAGGTTAGACAAATGAATATTCTGGGGATCTACTGAATAGCACAGTGACTGTAGTTAACATAATATGTAACTTAAAACTGTGGAGAGGGTAGATATTAAATATCCTCACCAAAGGAAACTGCGAGGTGACAGACATGTTAATCAGTCAGACTGACACAATTAATTGACAATATATAAATAGAGTTCTCTGCTGGTATTGATTTTAGGAGCCTTCCCTCCACCAAGACACCCAAATCTGCAGATGCTGAAGCCCTGCACAGAAAATAGGATAATACTTGTATATAAATTATGCGTATCCTCCTACGTAATTTAAATCTCTAGCTAATTCAGCATACCTAACACAATGCAAATACTATGCAAACAACTGTTACATTACATTAGCTAGGATATCGTGGCAATGGCAAATGTCTAACCATCTTCAGCAGAGACACAATTCTTGAAAATTTTTGATCTGAGGTTGGTTGAACCTGTAGATGAGAAGCCTGTTGATAGGAGGACTGAGTGTATACCAAAATGTCAAGTGCTATACCATAAATGTATGCAATTCTGCCAAGAAATAATAATGAAAGCAATGATTATTATGTGTTATATATTTTTAAATTGGGAATGGAGAGATGTCTCAGCAAATAAGAGTACTGGCTGCTCTTGCTGAGGATGTGGGTTCAGTTCCCAGCACCTGCATGGCAGCTAACAAATGCCTCTAACTCCAGTTCCAGGGGACCCAATGCTCTCTTCTAGCCTCTGTAGGCATTACATGACACAGATGTACTTACATACATGCGGGTAATACACTCATGCACATAAAATAAAAATAAAGCCTATTAAAAATCTATGAGAATAAAATAAAGAATTTAAGATTATCTGGAAGATAGGTCAGGCAACTCTGGTTTGAATACCACTCTGTGACATGTGGCCCCCTCCTCATGTGAGGCTCAGCAGTCTACAACTATATTCTTGATTTCCCACTGTCTCACCCTGTGTCTGTTCCCCGCGTCTGTTCCCCTTAGAATATGTGCTTGCTCATTCTTATGAGGTTTTCCTTTTCAACTGAAGTATAGTTTACAACAAAATGGGTAGATCTTTTGTTGCTGTTGTTGTTTGAGACAGGGTCTCCCTGTAGCCCTAGCTGGCATGGAACGTGGAATGTAGACCAGGCTGGTCTCCATCTCATAGAGATTTACCTGCCTCTGTCTGCCAAGTGCTGGCATGTGCCACCATACCCGGCTTAAAATGGACAGATCTTCAGTGTTCTTTCAGGGTTTTGAAAATTGTAGACACATGTATATCTGCCACTAAAAACAAGACAGAGAATTCCAGAATGGAATAAGGAGCATAAGGAATCCCTTATGCTCCTTTGCCATCCACCCCTCTACCCTAGAAGCCAGTGTAATGTAGTTATCATAGATTGTCTTGCATTTCATAATTGATAATCCCTCTGTGTCCACAGGTTCTGCATTTGTTGATACAACTAGTGGTGGTAGAAGATAGTTTTAAAGCTGTGTTTGTACAGAATATGCTCTGATATTTCCTATTGCCTATTGTCTAACACAGACAGTGTATTTCTTTAAGCCCATGAATTTTTTTAAGTGTACTTTCTGTCAACATATCTAAGATTCTATTTTAAAAAGTTTTCTTTCCTTTATTATGTTGCACAGCACTCTTATGGACTGATTTCTGGACTCCATATTTATTCCATCAAGCTATGTGCATGTCTATCATGATTACTGTCTCTTTATGGAAAATCTTGGAATTAGTTATTTTAAGTCATGTACATTGTCCTTCTGAGATATTAACTTCGCTTTTTAAAGTTTTGACTGCCAATTCTTTTTCTGTTTTTGTTTTTTTTTAGATGTTTCATTATATAGCCCATGGTGGCCTGGAACCTGAAGGCCTCCTGTCAGCCTCTTGATTATAGGTGTTAGACACCATATGTGGCTGAATGTTAAATTTCCAAATAAAATACAATAAATACATAATGCAACAACTCTTCTTGAATTTGAGTCAGAGCTCGTCTTTTCATTCATAGTCAAACTATATCTATCCGTGTACTATGTTTCCATTAATTTCTCTTGGATACGTTTTCTAGTTTTCTGTAAATTGACCTTTCATAATGTTTTCTGGTATTTGATTTCTCTCTTGTCATAAATGATATGTTTTTATTTCATTTTAAAATCAGTTACTGGTAGTATATACA